GAAAAGAGCAAGGATTGTGAAGTAAGGATTAATTTCAATAAATACTCCTGACTTTTTCGCTCTCTTTCAACATGTTTTGAATTTTGAAAAGGGTTTTTCTTTTCTAAGGAAAAGGATTTATTTAATCTCCTAAATTGTGTACCCTAATTTAAAATACCTTCTATATTTATAAAACTAATAAAATGATGATGTGGTACTGCTAATGGTTTTATAAATATCCTATACTATTGATTTTGAGTCAACTTATGACTTGTTCCCTATTTTTAAAAAAATTATGGACAAGTTGACATGAAATCAATAGTTGATGGGTTATTTTTAAAATAACATTAGTTCAGTGGAAGTTTTGTATCATTTTTCATATTTTAAGAGATAAAATGAATCTTTTTTAAAGTTAGAGTGCATATTAAAATAAGATGTAAACTTTAAGAGCACTTTATGAAATTAATCCTTTACGTAATGGTCCAACTCATTACATGTATAACATAGGCAAAGTTTTTGCATGGCTATATCGATAGTTACATTTCAAAACTTGGCAGAAAAGCTAAAGAGTGGTCAAAATTAGATTTATTTGTTTCCTGTTTTCTATTATTGATGGTCAGCAAGGTTTGCATAACCACCGAAAGAAGCAATAATGCCATTTCTTCCTTACTAATGAATGATAGTGTTTGGGTCTTTTTGGCATCCAAATATCAAATTATTTGGAATGAATTATTGCTACTTCTAAGCCACAAAGCTATATGTACCATCTTCTTTTTTATGATTATATATAATAGAGTGAAATTCTCTTTTATCCATGATGAATAATTAGTGAAGCAATTGGGAAGCAAAACCAAAAATAGACATGATCATGACCATGATCTTCCTAACTTTAGATTTGTTTCCCAAATGGCGTCAATATTTTCCTTGTTTTTTTTTTTAATAATCAACCGGCGATGAAAATTCATTAAAGAGCTAAAAACTTAGGATACAAGACAAACTCAAAGCTATAGAAACGGGTGTCACACAAATAGACAATATAAACACAGCTTTACCCAACAACAGAGAGGACTTCTCCAATAAGTGGTACAGTAATATGATTCAACCGCACAGAAAATACTCAAGATATGCCATATCCTAGTCCCCAAGTGGATCCAAGCCACACAACACAAACTAAGAGCGGTGGGAAACCACCCTCTAGCTGAGACAAAACGTTGACAGATGGAGAAATCATTACCTTTATTACAACACTAATATAAACAAAAAACATAAAAACTCTAAAAACTTTACAAAAATCTCAAAAGATCAACCTAGCAAGATCAAGCCCCTAAATGCTGGAAATATTTGAAGCGCGGTACGAGCGACGCTAGAAAAAAAAACACCTGAAACGATGATAGAAGGATTAGAAATACACCAAGTGCATGGATCTCACGCACTGTCACCGAAGAGCAGAGACTGCCACACGCGCTGATCCACCTTCCTCGCCTCCCTTCGTGACCTAGTTCCTGGAGTTTCAACAAATCCCACGGTGTCCTAGATCTACTGTAGATGAATGACGACTTCTTCCCCTTGAACAGGTCCTTTCCGGTGACTACCCACACTTCTGTTGATACGAACTCAACGTCGATGACCTCTGCGATCTTCTCAAAGAAATTTAGAGGTTGACAGCCCGCCTAAAAAGCCAGACCACTGACCCCAAAATGCACCCTCTCTCTGTTCTTGCAGAGCCTTTCTCTCTCTAAAAACTTATTTCTTACGTTATGGAAAAAAGGAAGGCTTCATTTACGGTGCGTCTCAAAATTGTGACCCACTGATAGAGCAAGTGTTTTTACCGTCGAATTAAATTTTCAACAGTCAGATCTGTAATAGGAGTAGTTTTGTGTGGTGTGCTGTAAATTTTTTATGCGAACATACATAAATCTAACCGTTAAAAATTTAATCTAACGCTTAAAAATGCTTACTCCATTAGTGGGTTACAAATGAGGGATGCACGGTAAAGTTTCCCAAAATGAAAAAAAAAAAAAAAAAAAAGTGAAGGCATTTATTGGCCTGAAAGTGTTCCCTTGCCTAAGGTAAATTAAACTCCTTTTTTTTTTTTTTTTGAAATAGTTGAAATTAAACTTTTGAGTTGACATATGATTACAATTTGCACAAAAGGGAAAACTAGTGTTTTCACCCATTGTGGATTAATATTTGGCTAGCTGCATCCAACAGAAAAAACATTGAATCATTGGTTGGTTTCAAATCATGTTAAATTTTGGATGATAAAGGTTGAATTTGTATGAGCCCTTTTACACTTGTAATTTACCGCTAATGGAGGTTTATTTCACCCATTGATTGGCTGTTTTTGTGATTCTGTGAGACTGTGATAACCGAGTTAGGTTCAACTACCTTTTCGGTGTGATATTCCATCAGTGGCCGGGTCTTGGGGTAGAGGAATAGTAGGAGGGTGCAAAGGTGAGTCAAATTATAGTCAAAGTCAAAGCATGAGGAGAATGTTTATATACAGCTATATTTTTATTTTTATTTTTATTTTGGCGGTGGTTGTAGTAAAAGATGAATAACTCTGTGGGATAGAAATAGGAGTTCTTTAGCTGAAAGATGTGATTGAAAAAGGCCCATACTTAATTGCTAAAATCTTAACATGATTGCATTACTCAATATTGTGATTGAATAATTTAGACAGCTTAACCACTAATAACCACTAGGCAGCTCATCTTTTTTTTTTTTTTTTTTTTTTGCTGAATTAATTATAAACCCTTAATTCGGCTTCTATTTAATGAGTTTATTATAAAAACAACTCTATTGTTTTTCTTTTCATTAAAGGGTCTCGATATTGCGCTCCTTTGGCTGCATACCCTCCTATCAAACCACTGAAAGATTATTACTATCTTTTTATTCCTTGACATATTATTATAAACCTTTTTATCCTTCACATTCTCTATCCTTCCTATTCTCCCTTCTACCAAGCATGAGAGTTGCGAACTTATAAGTACGTTTAGAATTCGTTTTAAAATAATTTTATTTTTTGTATGAAAATAAAAACAAAAACGTTTTCAATTTCAGATAAAAATCATTTTTAAAAATATTTTTGATAGTTTAATCAAGACATTATTTTTAGTATAAAAAATTCCATTAATGTCTCTCTCTTTCTCTCTACTCGAGGGAGAGAAAACCAAAACAAAAAAATAAAAAATGACTAAATTTTTTTTTTATTTTTCTCATTTTACACTAAATTAAAAAATTATTTTTATTTTTATTTTTTATCTTTATTACGCCAAATGTTATTTTAAAAACCTTTTCATTTTTTTTTTAAAATGTAAAAATTAAAAACAGAATCAACTGTAAACACAACTTATGTTACTGGCAACGCAACCAGATTAATTACGTAAGAAAGTTCAGAGGACTAATCCTGCAACCCTATCACATAAAAGGACAAAGTGTTTTATTGAATGTTTGACGTCAGCCATAATTTGTTTTTCTTATTCAATGGCAAATTACAAGTATTGCATTGCAAAGCGTTTGCAATATCCTTTTAACACTTCTTTACTTTATAATTTTCTTTTCCCATGTCCATGTCAAAAATATCTTGTAAAATACTCATCCTCTTTTTTAGTCAATTATTGTGTACTGAAAGTCCTTTTTAAAAAAAAAAAAAAAAATTAAAGTCAATTCCGGGTTATTCTTTTTGTTCAAGCAAAGGAGTGCAAAAGGCAAACTCATGCGCCATTTTATTATAGTAGATGACAAAGTTTTGTGATGAAAGCAGTGCATGCTTATAGTTGTGCTGACCCTTGTGCATGAAGATATAGGCAGCTAAGTATAAGCTCTTTCAAAAAGTGGGCAAATGTAAGCCCATGCGCAATTGTTCACATTCTCTTTTTTAAAGTGTCTATACATACACACACACACACACACACACACACACACAGATATATATATATATATATATATATATATAAGCACACCAACCGTTCATCTACAAACCACTCATCATTTGCTAATGGTCAATAAGGGGCGGAAAAGAAAGCTAGCCCACAAGAGAGTAGATAACTCAGAAAAACACAACCATGAAAAGAACAGGAATCAACCTATACCTACCACCACTAATTAGAATACAACCATATACAAAAAGAAAGATTGCAAATTTTCTTGCTCCAGCCACTAAACAATCATGAAAATATCAACAAAAGAGAAATTCCAAATAAAGGACCCCCAATCTCTTATAACACAGTTTCAGAATGACAGAATACAAGAATGTGCCAACTTTTTTTTTCCCCTTTAGAAAGGGTCCAAAAACTAGACCCCCACAATGGGTCCACAATCAATCTTAATCTCAGGAGCTGTGGTCGGTTGCTTTTGGAAAGACAACCACTCTTGAAACTCTCTCCACCACTACAATATACATTTGAGTAAAGAAAACTATATATACTCGGAAAAAAAAAAAGAAAAAAAAAAAAAAAAAAAAAAAAAAAAAAAAAAAAAAGAGAGCCAGAGGCAGATAAAGAAACTTTGGTTGTTTTTCTGGGGTTTCCATCAGAAGGGTAATCCCACCATCCACAGTCCCACAGTCAAGTTTCTTGAGACTAGGATGAAATGACAAAAAGAGCAAAAGAAAAATAAAAACATAAAGGAAAACATCTGGGAAGCTGAGAAAAAAAAAAATGAAAAAGTAAAGACTATGGGGAAGACATATAGAAATAGTTTTCCCACCATCAGTACTCAATTTGAAATCTAAAGATTCACACCTGATACTTGTTTGACCTCCAAGGCTTTTAAACTCTTCACACTTTTCTCTAAACTTGGCTCCATAAGCATTGTAGAAAGGTAAGAGTACTGGAGGTCACAATGCCTGTCCTCTGGCAGACAAAGTATCCCACTAAGATCTTCCATCCTTGTACACTGCTTGTCTTCTTTCATCCAATACCCTTCCTATCACCACTTACAAAAGTAAAAGTTGATATATAACATCCTTTTTCCTTTTTTTTTTTTCTCTATTTCTTTATTCTTTAATTCAATGCCTCTTTTTTCCCTTCATTTTTCTTCTTGAATAAGTTTTCCCTGCATTTTTCAGAAAAAGGAATTTGTTAACACAATCCGTGAGACAAAAATCAGAAAAAAGAGGCAAAAAAAAAAAAGGGGACTTGATGAATGCAACAGTGCAAAAAACTTTGAAGGAGGAGCCCAGGTTTACACTTTCTCTTCTTTCCAAGATATTGAATAGTCTAAGCCACTGTTTGTTTCACTAATTTAATTCAGTTCAACTCAATTTGAATAGTGAGCACAGTTTGAACATGCAGTTTGAATTATATTCTCCGTCTCCCCTTAAGTTTAACCGTTGAAACTATTTTTAAACAGTAAAAAATGTTCACTCTCTCTGCTTTTCACACCTACCAAACACAAATTTGAATTGTATTCCCTGTTCAAATTAAAATTTTAACTACACATCTAAATGTCAATTCAAACTACAATTTAAACCGCACAGTTTGAATTTTTCTGTTTAAACCAGCAAACCGTACGGGGGCTTAATTTTTTTTATTGTCACACTTGTTTTTTCATTCGACTCTTTCC